CTGCCTCCTGCACGCCCCCTATTGGGGGGATTGTGCTCACAACCCGGCATGTGCCTTTGGCCCTAATCGAACCTTTATCTATATATAGGCTGATGCCATACCTCTTTGGAGAAATGTCTATTCAGGTACTCTGCCCATATTTATTTTTAATTCGGTTTGTTTGAAATCTAGATGTTTGGGTTTTTATTTTTTTAAAATCTTTATTATTGAAAGTATCCCATATGTCCCTCTTTCTCCCCCCATTCCTCTTCTAGAGCCTTCCCCTGTACCTCACCCTGTTTGTTTTTTGGTATTGTTTGTATGAGTTTAATTTTTTATTTTTTACTTTTTACACCAACTCTTTTTATTACCGAGTTTCAAAACCTTTCACAAGATGATAAACAAGAAAAAAAGGGGAGAAAAAAACCAACAACGTGAAAACCACAGCTGATGTAATTCCCCATTGTTCCCAGTCAGCTCCAAACCCACTGTGTGCAAAACCCACTCCCGTGCACCTAAACGAGATGAGCTTTCATTTAATGCTCTGCTATGGCCATTTGGAGATTATTCATCATTAAAAATTCCTACTTTAAAATAAATATCTTTTCATTAATTTTAGAGAGAGGAAGGGAGAGGGATAGAGAGAAACATCAATAATGAGAGAGAATCATTGATCGGCTGCCTCCTGCACGCCCCCTATTGGGGGGATTGTGCTCACAACCCGGCATGTGCCTTTGGCCCTAATCGAACCTTTATCTATATATAGGCTGATGCTCTATTCACTGAGCCAAACCAGCTAGGGCAGGCTTGGAAATTCTTTATTCTACTTATAGTAGCTTATGATTCAGGTGCAGCCAAACAAGCTCCAGGACAGACCACACAGACTTTACCATGTGGGCTTGGAGTTGCAAATATGGAACTAAAATCTACACCAAACTGATAGAAACTGAGCACAGACCCAGGGCGGAGCCTGGGAACTCGTGGGTCAGTCTTGCCTCCTAAAGTGCTCTCTTATGTACAGACCAGTCAGACGAAGATGCAGAGCTCTGTGGTTAGTTTAAATTATACACCCTGTAGGTTGTATGAGTTCGTTTTGGATATTAACCTCTTATTGGATATATAATTAGCAAATGTCTTTTTCCATTGGGTAGGTTGTTTTTTTTGTTTTAGTG